TGTGTGTGTGTGTGTGTGTGTGTGTGTGTGTGTGTGTGTGTGTGTGTGTACGTGACTCACTTAGATGCGTCTTCAGTTGGTCCACCTCTCTGCGCAGGTGCTCCAGCTCCTCTCGGTGGAGCTTTGAAGTAAAACTGTGAAGAAAAGAAGACGAGGTGATAAAGCTGTCTGGTTGTTTCTTTTTGTTTCTTTTCAGACCTGACATTAAAATGTCACCTTACTTGCAGTGAATTGAAAACATTTTTATTTCAATCTTGAGCTGGAGCCGTCATCAGCTACCCCCCCCACCACCACCACTAATGCACCTTTCCTCCGGGTTGCCTGGCAACGTGGCTCTGGTGATGTGTCCCCGCAGACTGCTCAGCTCACGTCCGACCTCTCTCCTCCACTGATCCATCTTCCTCTCGGCTCCTGGACTCGGCCCCCTCCTGGATTCTCTCTCCTTCTCCCTCAGCTCCTCACGCAGCCGGTGAACCTCCTCTGGAGGAGAAGAGAGGTTACTGCAAGGAAGGGAGTTTAGCTTCCTTGAGGACACATCCACATATTTTATAAATGTCGTTAATTATGAATGAATGCTCCGTTGATGAGTGTATTTTGCTTGTTTCCCAGACAGTACCAGGGTGGGCCGTGAGGAGAGAAGGCAGAGGAGACGTGTACTTTAGTATCGTGGTGAGCCATCATTTGTACACATCAATATATAATTGGATATTTAATTATTAAAGTTACTACAAGGAACTTTCATTTTGTGTTGATTTTGGCGGTCTCTGTGGAGGCAAGTGCTCGTGTTTCAGACCACCAGAGTCCCTTTAGAAAACCTCTCATGTAACTGCAGCAGGGTCTGACGGTCTACCCCGCTCAGTCCTGGTTCTCTGGTTCCTCCCTTCTCTCCAGCCGTCCAGCAGTACAGCCTGAGGAGGAGACACGTCTGTCGGGCAGGCAGCTCTCCTCCTCCCGCCCGAGCGTCCGACTGCAGGTCGACGGCGGCAGCAAAGCCGGATCCGGGTCTGTCCGTGGTGGACTGGTCTCTGCTGGACTCTGAGCTGAAGGTGTTTCTAGTGAACCTGCATCTCATTTTGTCCGACCCGACAAGCATCAAGAATAACTACATAGAAGTAGTAGATCTCCTCGCTGATAGTCTCGTTTACTAATGTCATAGGTCATATCGAGGCATCAGTATTATATTGAGACTGTTTCATAAACAGTTTAAAGTTCCTCATAGTAACTTTAAGCTATTATATTATTATTATTAATAATAATATTATTGTAAATAATAATTTTAAAAATATAATAAGAAGTGACACAAAAGTGACTTAATGTTGACCGAAAAGGTGCTTATTACCATTTTTACACTATTTTGTGCAATTCTTAATAGATTTAAACATTGAAAAGGAAAGAAATTAAATAAAATATGTTTGTTTTATACACAAAATCCCGAAAAACAAAGATTCATATTACACACTAGTCTTCATACTTCAGTTTTATATTTGTTATATTTGTTTTTTCCTTTTCAAAACAATTTCCACAAATTAACTCCTTTGACTTTTATACATGTTTGTTTCACATTTGTTCTAATTTTGCAATCTAAACATTTTAAATTCCTCTCAGTTCACACTGACTTCTTATATCAATGCATCTTATATCTTATTTAATATAATAAATGTGCCGTTATGAAGTCCATCCGATATCTAGACTTGAGAGCATGTGAGTTTAATAATATGTTGCTTAGTTCATGATAATCGTCTCTTCTGAAGCATCAAAATTAGTTTTGTGGTTGTTTTCTACGTATTCCCACAAACCTCACAGTAGATTATTGTATGGAACTATAAAATAAAACTAATAATATGCAGTTATTATGGAGATAATTGATTAAAGTGTATTTAACACAAACTAAAAACGGAGGCATTTCTCCTGTTGTGAGCCAAAATAAAATCCCCGTCCGCTCCATTTAAACAGATAAATTGTAAAACGTCCCTACCTCTAGCGAGAGATCTGGATGTAAAGAGAATTTCAACTAAAATATCCAAAATGTTTTTGAAGATTACCGACCATGTCTTTAACGTCATCGAGGGACTGAAGAAATCAAACAGACATTTCCTTTTGTTCCATTGGGGACACACGCTGCTTTAGCTGGTGATATGTTCAACACTAGAGACTAACAGAGAGCTATCATGGTCTCACTTTTCTGATGTTTTCTTAGAAGCCTTGCTGAAGTGTGTTGAGTTCGGTGGACGTGAGGAGACACACTTGGATGATCCAAAAATAAAGAGGCGCAGGTTTCAAGACGAGTTTTAAAATCAAATCATAAACTCATTCTGTGTTGGATGAAATTGAATTTGACTACAAACTCGTTCATCTGACTCAACCGTTGGATTGAATAGCACAATATATTTTGGAAGCTACAGACTTGTGTGTCAACAATAACGTGACAATGATGAATTTGTGCTGAAATGCTGCATTATTTTTAATATGTGACCTGGTAAGTTGGATTGCTGTGTTTGTGACCCGGTATGATCTCAGGTAGGCAGTCCTGGTGCAGCAGGTTACCTTGTAGCGTCCGGATGTGACACTGTTGAGACTGTCTCTCTCTCTCCACGTCATGGAGCTTCTGGCTGAGCGACTCAATCGCCTTGAAAACACATCAGGAACAACAAAATAAATGGAATCACACATTACACGCCATTTGACTTCTTTTGCGGTCGCTATTTGATCTCGCGCCGCCCCCGGCTCGGTTGAACAAACATTCACACACCTGGCTCTGTATCTGGAGCTGTGACTGGATGGCGGCCAGGTCGGCCCACTGAACGGGAGGGCTGAGAGGTGAGGAGGGCTGTCGGAGGAGGAGGAGCGGGGCTCGCGGCGGGAGAGCAGGAGGACCCAGATCTAAATCAGGAATCCTCTCCCTCGCTGGAAACAAATCTGGGGGGGGGGGGGGCCCGTTCAACCACAATTAAATGAGTTCAAACGACTTCCCCTCCCGTTGTTATCTGCACTTTACTGTGAGGGTGGAAGTTACACACTCACACGCAAAAAAGGTAATTTCCACTTTTTAATGATGACTCACAAACCGACACGAAAGGTCACCCACCTTCTCCTTTGGAGAATTTCCCCGGTGAGGTCAGTCTCTCCTGCGGACACATTAAAAACACTTTCACACTGTAAGGAGTTTCCCAAACTCAACACTACGCATATTTAATCTACACAAATAAATGACCCTGTTAAAGGTTTAGTGGGGCGTTACTGCCATCTACAGATAGCTCCAATCATGACAGTTCACAACTGACCGCAAGAGCACAGTGAAGGCTCTCCTATGTTGTTTACTCCTTTATGTACCGTAAGACCACACACACACACACACTCTTTAAAATCATTAATTTCTGTTACTTCCAGCATGACTAATAAACAAGAGGAAGGCCATTTGAATCTACTCACCCTCATCTTTGCAACGCTGCCATCTGCTACTGACAGGATAGAGCTCAGCTGGTTGTCCCAGTTCATGTCGGAGTTGAACTAGAAAAGCAACATTCACTGCCATTAGTCTGTTGATTTTTTAATCCTTTGGTGCAAAAACTGTCACGCAAGACAGTGTTGTGTGGTGTTACACCATCAAACACCAGCGTGGGCTGGCGATGCAGTAACTCTAGACGTGTTTTAGGGGCTGGTCGGTGAGGTAACAACCTACTAGAGATCTCTGACACTTTGTGGAGGTTTTAAATTACAGCACGTCTGGATATTTGCATGTTTGTAGCGCAGCAGCTACTCGGGTAAATGTAGCCGAGGTGCCAGGATGTGCAGGCTTTATGATAATGTGATGAGCCGGGACGATGCTGAAGTAGGTGCAGTGGTTTTTGATCTGGACCTGGTCAGTGGCAGTGAAATCTCCCTTTTAAGCATTTTTACAAATACAATAAAAGGTTTCACAAATCTGAAAGTGTGTTTTAAAGAGTTACTGGCTCCTCTGGGATGATCACATCCAGGTTTCACAAGAGTAGTTGTAGTGGTTTTTGATCTGGATCTGGTCCAATGTGGTCTAGATGTGAAAAACTGGGTTAGTTCTCCTTTTCTTTTTCATTTTCACAAATAGCATGAAGAAGAAAGCGAGAACTTTGGCGTCGTTTCTGCAGACCAGTGGGGACCAGTCTCTCTTCAGCTTCAGTTAGTTTATAATAATAATACGTTAGTTAGTTCATTTAATATTATTATATTTCATTGTATATATTGTGCATTTGATATTTAATATTTTTACTCTGTTATTTTATTTACCTGTACAATAATTGCTGCTGCAGTGGGATTAATAAAGTAACTGTCTGTCTGTGTGTGTGTGTGTGTGTGTGTCTGTCTGTCAGACTTAAACTGGAAGAGATGCATGAACCCCCCCTGCTCAAGGACACTTCGGTAGAGTAGATGCTGGTTACATCGCAAAACACACACACGAAACACATCAAGATAACGTAAAGCGGGAGTAGCAACCGTTAAATAGCTAACGTTGTCGTAAGCTAATTTCAGTTAGCAGCAGCAGCTTTACGGTTACTTTCCTTACAGCGTTCATAACGTTACGTCGCTGTCTCCGTTGTCAAAGTAACGCTAATTATGGTATGGAATGGTACCTTCTATTGAATATATAACATACAACCTGTCGCTGAAAACATAGTAAATATTTCTTTAAAATGTTTTATGTTAGCTGGCTAATCAAGCTACTCACAGAAAATCTTGCGACTCCACTTTTAAATCCAGGAGCCCATAACAGCAGCAACGTGATTGCGTGTGACGTAGCCGCGAGGGGTCTTCTGGGTATTGTAGTAGATAGTGACTACAGTCTTTACTCATCACCAAATAAATGAAGTGCGTCAGCAGAATTTCTCCAAGACACATTGTATTGTATATTTTATTGCAGTCATTCGTTTTGTTGGAAGAAATTATTGCAAAAAAAGTCAAGAGTAGATTTATTTCTGCCAATGATTAGCTAAAGAACACCATATCCCACAATCCAAAGCTTTGCGTTGACATGGATAAGATGGCGGCTTCTACTGCCAATGTGGAAGGTATTACAGGACTGTTAAAAGACTCTTTATCAAAAGTTGGATTTGAAATCTATCCTCTGAAGGTATTGTGGCACTAATTGATTCCCAATGTGTAGCCTCGAAAGCAGGAAGGGCTTAAAAGTGTGAAAAATATAATTCAATACATGCACCGACCTTCATAGTACATCAAAAGCCTACACACAGCGTGTTCACTTTACTAGGAACACCTGTATAATCTGATGCAATTCAATGCAACAGCTTCACCATAAATTCAACCTTGATGAAGTCTATAATGTTCAGTTTTTGTTGGTATTGTCGGGACTGTGTACATTTAATAACTTGTTTATTCTTGAGGTTGTAGATTGAGGAGGACATAATAATAGAAACACCTCACAATATAATACAGTCCAGTACAACACCACCACAATTACGCCTCTATTCCTCTGCAAACTCAAAATGAAAGGCATTATAAAAGCATACTTGTTGAACTAGATTGTTCAGGTGTACCTAATAAAGTGGCTCTACTGTTTGTTACTGCCCATGTGCCTCTCTGTCCCACAGGTTGGCTGGTATAACTCTATGCTGCCTCCCTCCCTGCGCCTGGCTCACCGTGATGACAGCCTGGCCGTGGTGGTGCTCAGCACTCCCTCCATGTTTGAACAAGCCTTCCTGCCCTTCGTGGAGGAGAGGGGCTGCCAGGGCATGTCCGACCCCATAGACCAGTGCGTCAAACACTGCGTCTCCTCTGCTGTCTCCCAGGTAAGTGGTGCAGTAGCAGGCTTGTATTTTGTTTCCATCTTTAATCACAAAATTCACAACAATAAGACATTAAGTATTTATTATCATGATCAGGTTAGATGTGGCCTTTCCTCTCCCTGCCCTGCAGTGTTTCCCGGGACAGGAGGTGGATGTGAGGTACGACTACGAGATGCTGCCCAGCAGGAAGCCGAAGTTTTTGGCGCAGACTGCGGCTCACGTGTCCGGAGCAGCTTTCTACTACCAGCAGTCTGACGTCAGAGACCAACCCTGGGCTGAAAAAGTAACGCTGTTTGGTTTCTGTTTAATAAACTTAAGTTTTGTAGTACAGTGTGTTTTTCCATTCTCGTCTCCTCACCTCTGTTTTGTGCGTCTGCCACCTGCAGAAGATGTTTGGAGTGTGTGTGCACCCGAGGTTCGGGGGCTGGTTTGCCATCAGAGCCCTGTTGGTGTTCGGGGGTGTGACGGTGGGCTCTGAGATGCAGCAGCCTGTTCCTCCAGACTGCGTGCCCTCCAGAGAGGGCAGGATACAGCTGCTGGAGGCTTTCAACTTTCACTGGCAGGTACAGAACCTCAGCACACCGTCAGCCACAATAACCTGGACACACATACACGTTAAATGGACAGCAAATGTGCCAAACACCTCCAGATTGATGGCCTTTAGGTAAGATACCCCCCTCCCCCATCTTAACCATAATCCTGTTTTTAAATCCTTTCATGCTCATAAAACAAAAAGGACTTTGAGCTCACATCAAGAAAGCGGTACAAATTTGAAAAATAACTCACAAAAGACGGTGCTGGTGGAGGAATGACATGTTTTGATGGGTTTTTAATCCTATAATCAAATACTTATGATAAATCAAAGCTGATCAGAGACATTTTGTGCGTCGTCAGGACTGGAGGTACAGGGACGTCGTGCGTCCGGTCCAGATCTACTCTCAGAAACAGAAGGACTACTTTTCCACTCCTCCTGCTCAGCGGTTCGCTCTGCTCAAGACTTGGGGCTTCCTGCCGAGAGACAGCGATCAACCCGACACGACGTCGGACACTCGGAGCCAGGCGGCCGGACACGGCTGAAGCAGCTGCACAAACCTCCACTGCTGAGCTTCGGTGGAAGCTTTTTTTAAGGTACAAGGGAAACTTTTCAGGGACTTGCATATGATGAGTTTCATCATATTGATAGACTACGTGTGGTCACACTGCTGAGTAAAGGCAGCTCCTCTCATGGAAACTGGAACATACTCAAATGTTTGTACGTATGCTTTAAACATTACCGCTGCTGAGTGTGTTAAAACCAATTACTTAGAAGAACGCAGCTTGTGTCCTTGTTGCTTGTGTCACACTGTAACACTCCAACTTCTGACGTTTAAGCAGCAGCAGTGACTTTTACTTTGGACATTGTATCATTTGACACAATATCAACACAAGAGGTTGTATCAAATGAAAATGTTTCACCACCAGACTGCCTTTCATTTGTATCTGTATGTGCTGATACTTGATCATGAAGAGAACAGACACTTTTTTTTGTTTTGTTTTTTACTCATTTCTAGAATATCTCTATTTGATTTTAGAGTGAAGCCATGAAAATAAACAATAACTACAAATAATAAAGACATGTATCCATGGATTTGATTCCCCCCCAAGCAAAACATTGTTTTTCATGCACTGATCAACATCAAAAATACACGTAGGTGTTTATTTTACTACTTTGCCAGATTTTTTTTTTTTTTACTACACTTTAAAATTGGCTAACGCTAGCTAAGTTAGTTAACAAGAAGGCTAATTGTTTCTTCACAGGTTAAAAATCACGAAGACAATTAACCTAAAATTTCCATTTTCTTATTAACAAGAGCTGTTAATCTAGTTTACGTTGACATTACCCCAAATCTCTCTGTGCTAACGTTACGTTTCTTTCCCCTGGTATTTGACCTCTGCCACTGAGCCTTTGACGGTTGAAAATTCTAAACTCAGGTCCGCCATATTGTCTAATGTTACAGCGAGCGTCTCCGAAAAGAGGACAAAACTGTAACTGAACAATAGTCATGCCAGAGCTTCTGTTTTATTATTCACATTTACATAATTCAATGTGTGAGTACAGCATTGATACATGGTTAGAACCACCAGTGGACATCTGCACTGAGCAGTGAGGGGTTTCATATGTGCTCCTCTTCTTCTTCTTCTTCTTCTTCTTCTTCTTCTTCTTTGGTTTCATAGATACAGTAGGTATCTGTGTCCATCAGCAGTTCTGCAGTAGAGATGTAGTGCAGCAGGTCACGTCTACTGTTGCACCTCTAGATGTCGCCGTTCTCCAGATAACACCGTGAGGTTTAGTCTTGCTGCTGTCTCTGAAGCGTCTGCAGATGTTCAGCGATCAATAAAGTCAACCCCCGACTGCAGAAAACCAGCCTCAAATTATAAAGTACATCCACCATCTACCCTCTGCAACTGTTAAGTGCATCTTACATAATGGTTCTTTTGCGTTTTTCTTAAATTTAAGCAGCCTGTGCTCTCACTCCTGCCCTCACCGTTTACTTTTTGCTTTTATCATTTCAGACTTTTTGTCCCACTAAGCTACCTCTTTATTGATACACCTCTCTCTCTCTCTCTCTTACTCTCTCTTACTGCATCCCTCTCCTCACCCCCTTCTCCCTCCCTGTGCTACTCTGTCTATCTGTGTACTGAATCAGCATTTTAGAGCAGTATGCCGCAGGCCTGCAGAGGCAGACCATGGAGTTAATTATACTCCCTCAGATACTTGATCGCTCCCCTATCCCCCTCCTCTGTTGCTCCACCTCTCTTTCCTCCTCTCTCTCTCTCTCTCTCTCTCTCTCTCTCTCTCTCTCTCTCTTTCAATGTGCATGTCTTGAAGCCAGTTAGCTCTGCAGATAACTGCCACCACGAGCTCACAAGTCACGATGATTAAAATCATTGTTAGTTCTTAATTTCCATTTAAGTTATGACGCATTTTTCGCAGAGTTAAGTCTAAGAAGCAGAATTATATAATTTAAGGATGATTGTGTTGTATTGAGGCGCCATTTTTCCAGGTTGTTTACCACAGGAAATAGATTCGGCTCAAAACTAGACAACAAGAACTAAACAGGCGCAGAGAACTTTGGGTTTCTTTCTTCCTTGCTGTCTCTCTTTGCGTCCTTTCCTCGCTCCTTTGATGCCTCTGGGAACGTGGAGGCATAATTTTCTGTCAGAGGAAGAAGCTAAACCTCTTGCCGTTCTCAGGGTTTCCAGGTCTCTGTTGTTTGTCCTCTGATGCCTCACCAGCTGTAACCTGGGATACACTGATATCTAAAGTGGAACATTTACTCTGCATGTCGGTGAAAGAAGCAATGAGACACGAGCGAGGGAGGGGGATGCTCCTGACGATCCGGCTCCCTGTTTTCCCCCTTTGGTTTAACATCCTCAACTGTCTCCACAGTGCAACACGAGTTCTGGCAGGCAGAGCTGCACTGCCGAGCTCTCCTTGCTCTGGTTTTTGCAGGACTGCAGAGGCACTTTTGCACCTCGAATGTTGTGGGACACAGAGGGTAACCGGCATTACACGGCTACAAACACCAAAACCCCAAGACAATTACAGTCAGACGCTAATATTTAGTAGTTTTGGAAAATGCTGCATTGAGCAGTTAACTAACTAGTCCTTTATGAGCCTTTGCTGGAGGACTAGTTAAGTCCCACCAGAATGCAGGACTCTGGTGGGACGAGGTTGATGGGCAATGTTTTCCTCATGTTGCATTTTTAATGTGAAGATGTTGGCCATATTATCTAGCCAGAGAATTGCAAATTCAAAGAATGCACTACAGGAATGTACTGCTGTTTTGGGTTTTTTTTTTTTGTCATGCGTTTGTTGTGTTAACAAATGGGCTACAACTGCATTTTGTTGTGCATCCCTGTGTTGCATAATGACAATAAATGATCCTTGAATCCCTCAAATCCAATGAAAGCTGGTGTATGTTGATCATGAAGAAAAAGGAGTTTAGAATCAGCATGTTGGGAGAAATGATGTTAAAAGTCTTCTGGGTGCTGCTCACTAGAATCCCAAATAATAATAAAAAACCCAGTAATGACATGTTTGTGCACGGCAAAAATGATCGGCTGTTTTTGGGCAGCGATGAAAAAGAAGAGAAAGAAACGGAGAAAGAAAAAGATGAGTTGTGGATCAGTGAAGCGGTGTTATCCGCCCACAGACATCAGCTAACAAGAAGAGAGGGGAAAGGCCAGCAGCACACCAGCAACAGAGGAGGAACTGAGCGCTGAGTGGGGGGGAGGAAGAGTCCAGCATCCAGAGAATTTAGTCCAATTTAAACCATAATAATAACGTTGCTGTTCTAGTGTTGAGGGACAAATGAAGACATGGAAAGAGTTCTCAAATATTATGCAGAGATGGAGATCTGCGAGAGAAAGCAAAGAGCTTAATTACGACTCTATTTCCTGAACTTCCTCTGCTTACTCTGACAAAACACTCGTGTGTTTTCTCACAGAGCCTCTCTCTCTCTCTCTCTCTCTCTAAGCCACGCTGCCTCGGCGTGTGCGCATTTCATTTTTCTTATAAAACCGCCTCCTTATCAGTTTTGTGGATTAGCATAATTAACCAGCCCTCCGCCTCAGAATTCCCCTCGCAGCCAATCGGCGGTTGGCTCATGGTTACCAATGGGGAGGCCGATGGACGGGAGTGCGAGTGGTCAGCCGAGGACAGAGGGGTAGAGGACTATTAGTCTCAACCAGGCGATGGAACTACATATTCCTCCTTTCCACACACGCACAAAACACCTGTATTCATTTGTTAGAGAGAAAACATCAAATCTATTGCTTCACTACCTCACTCATCCATCTATCTGGCACATGCATTGAACATGCACGGCTTCTTCAGTGGGACAGACATAAAGTCCGTGTGCAAACAGAAGACCCTCGTTCCCGGGATGAGTTCTTCACTAATGTGCAGCATGCGATGACGTGTTGGCGCGTTGTTCATGTGGTGGAAACCGCTGGGAGCCACCTCCCAGCTAAAGGGATGTCCACGTGTTTATGTAATCTGACTCGCTGGCATACTTCAAATGCTGCAATCATTTCTTCATGTCGATAAAGTAGAAAGTTTGTATCTGGCCTCAGATGTTCAACAATGTTGATGGTGAATGAAAACATGGGCGGATTATGAGACAATGGGCCCCTGGGCCCCTGGGCACGGAGATAACAATGGCCCCACAGCCTCTTCATAGTTGTTCAGCCTCTTTGTGTTGTGTGTCTCTGTGGTTTTGTGTCTCTTTGGGTCCTTTTATGTATCTTGGTGGTTTCTTTTCAGCTGTTTTGTATCTCTTTGTAGTTGTTTTGGTCTCTTTGAAGTCTTTCTTTGTCTCATTGTAGTTTTCTCAGTGTCTTTGCACCTTTTCATAGTCGCTGTGTGTCTCTTTGTGGTCTCTATGCAGCTGTTTTGCATCTCTTTGTCGTTGTTTTGGTGTCTTTGCAGTATTTTGGTCTCTTTGTGGTTGTTTTGTGTCTCTTTGTGGTTGTTCTGCTCCTTTTCATCGTCATTGTGAGTCTCTTTGTGTCTCTTTACAGTCATTTAGATCAACTTGTTTTGGTATCTTTGCAGTTTTGTTGTGTCTCTTGTAGTAATTCTTTATCTTTTTCTAGTTGCTTTGTGTCTCAATGTGGTTGTTTTGCTCTTTGTTTTAGTCTCTTTACGTCTCTCTGAATCTGCTCTCTTTGTAGTTGTTTTGTGTCTCTCTGTTCTCTCTCTCTTGTCTTTTGTAATATATTTCTTTGTGGTGATATTGAGTCAATTCCTGGTTGGTACTTATCTCTTTGAGTTTCATTTTGTAGGTGAAGGCCAGTCGGGCCCCTGACATTTTCATCCCCAGGGCCTTCAGTAATCCATCCACGAATTAAAAGCATTACTCCTGTTGCTCTCAGGGGAACATCCACATTCACCTGACTCCCCATCGTCTCCACTTTGAACCAACCATCAAAGAACAGTGTAACAGTCCAACAGGCGAGAAGGATTAGCCCGAGCTATGGTTCCCCGTTACATAATCCACCGTTTTGGATTAGCTTCATTCCCCTGAGAACGTTTAACCCTTTGAAATAAAATAGACCAGCGTCAGCCTCTGTGTTCAGCTTGAGTTATGCTGTAAGGAAGTGAGTTAAAGCGAGCCTACTGTACAAGTACTGTAGCTGTCATGGGAAAATGTAATCGGACAATAAGGAATGTAGGATTTGTTCAAAAAGTTTATCTCTGAAAGGAGATGCTACTTGAGCTCCACTGGCTGCAGATAAGTGGAGGGGAAAACGGCACCAACACCACACAGGTGAACGAAGAGACGCCCAGTGCATTAAACAAGAGTGTTGATTGATTGTTTAAAGTGAAGAAAATGCTTAAAGTCCCTTCAGACAGAGGGGGGGTGATTTCTCGCTCCTTCCTCTGTTTCTTACTGAAAGATTGCAATTAGCTCCATCCCTCGCATGCCCCGTGGGCTGCTTGTGGTAAAAGCTCACATGGTGCTGTGAGCTGATTTATTAGCGGTTGTATGCATTAAGTATTACGTCACAGCTGCCGAGGAACTCTAAATCTGCCACTTATACGAGATTAGCTCCTTACTACTTTGGCTCTGCCCACGGCAAACGTCT